GGCCTAGAAGAGAAACATGTTCGATTTCCCATTAAAACTTAGTCTACTTCTTCTGTTATCTTATTACCAGCTGTGGGTTTACCTGGTGCAATATTTCTGCATAATGAGGCTGAGACCGCCTCATAAGATCAACGCGATTGTTCATAAGACAGAATACACAAATTGACTTTTCTTCAGTAATTCGGGGTTGTGGTGTGCAGTCCCTGTTGAAACACACTGTGGCACTGTGAGATCTTCAGTGCTGCAAGTACAGTCACTGCCTCCACATCATTCTTTTCATTATGATCGGGATTGTACATAGTAGGAATTCACTGACCATCTGGCTGGACCGCCTTGGAAGATGAGGCCTCTCATGATCCCCAGTGAAAGGAAGCAGTGCAAGTTTCTCCCGAGTTCTCCCTCAGCGTGCACAAATCCTCAGTTCAGAGAATAATCATGTGCCCAGCATGACCATCTGTTACGTGAACTCTGCTAAGACCAGTAAGACCAGTGCTAGGACAGGACTGTGGCTTTGGCACGGGATGTGCACACCCCAGGGTTTAATTGGTGAAAGCCGCATCACTGCCAGCATGGTCCGTTGCCATTTGGAAAAGTCAGGGGGTTTGCAACCCTAGTTGCAAAACGCTAGTCCAGAGTTCCCCCTTCTTTTCATGCAGCTGCTTTTATCTGGCATCAAGGGGGCTGAAAAGGTGTGTGATGCAGTTGTGGTTATGACAGCTTGAGATAGGGACGTTCCAAGAAACCTGGACTCTACATCCTCTACATGGTTTCAAGATAACCTAAACCAACAGCCATGTGCCATTTATTCATTTAAATGGAAATGGTTAATTAAATACTCATGACTAGTATTTTTTAATGACAGCAGTGACTAAGAGTGATTAAAGTAACTTTTTTTTTCATTTACTGATGTTGTCACTGTTTTAATTGTTGCTTATTTTTCTCTGTGGCTGCAGAAAGGCTTGAAATTTTATCAAAATAAAAAAGGTGTGTTAATAGGGCAAAGTTTCTTGCTTTTTACAAATATATGCACATATGAATGAACCCTGTGAAACTCCCTCATTTATACACTGAACCAAATGGGTGCCTTTGGAAGTAGCTAAAATGTTTCTGTTCTGTTTTTCATTAAATTAAGGGGTTTTTTACTCATCTTTCTGTGGTTTCCTCTGTGTCATGACAAGGATGTGGGCCTTGGCACAGCTTTTAGACTCAATGACTTCTTGTGAAATTAATGGGTGACTTTTAATGCACATTTCAGAGCTGATTTCAGTGGCTTTTAATCAGCCTGTGCCACCTTGAACTGAATTACAGTCGAGTTTAACCTCCTTGCAATCTGCTAGATATTGCTTATTAAACGTTATTAGTCAGTCCAAAAAGAGCTTCATCAGATGTCTGTGGGGTTATAAATATAGTGGGATGGAGGTGTCTGAACCACCTTCAGATCATTAATGAGATGACAATAAATTTTGGAAACTAGTAAATCATAATCAAAGACATACTAAGATGGCCTGCTGTAATTTGTCTGACTGTGGTGAACTGACTCAGACTTCGACGGAGTCTTCTGCATTTATCTTTATTTCTCTTTGGCAAGTATCCAAGAAAATTATCAGGAAAATCTGATGGCTTTCTTTGTTTTAATTCTGTTTTCTAAATGTTTCTTCCTGATGCCAGATTGAGTTGCCCAGAAGGAAGGTTACTTTTACAGCTTGCTAGATGGCGGGCGGTTCTGTAGTCAGAAGATAAAACAAAGACTTTGCCTAGGAGCTGTGGAGGCAATCCAAGCTCCAAACTTATCACTGCACTTTCAGGAAACAACAGTTGTTGACAATAGATAGTGCCACCCTCTGTACTGAGAACTAAAAGTTTGTTTAAAAAAAAGATTCCCACATTGAACATAGAGTGCATTAGAAGTACAGCCAAAACAAGTACAAAACATCAGCCGCTACTGCCCACTACAAGGGCAGAGAACGGGAGGACTCAAGCTAACTGGCATCCACATCCCTGTGTGATGTGTGAATACGAGTTGTCAGCCCCCTCTATTGGACGGAGAGCTGTCACCTCCGTGTGTGTCACCTGTCAGTGCCATATGTCATGTCTTTGCATGGCCGGGTCAACCTTAGAGGCTGTTCTCTATGCCCAATTATGCCTAGGTGACGAGCAAGCCAGACTTCTCAGCAAACACTCCTTAAGAAATATTGTGTACCTGGAAGACCTCGGTAAGAACAGAGATAAGACGCAAATGTCTGACAGAGAAGTCAACTCAGCAGAGACCAAGCTGCAAAGCCCAAGTGTAGGTTGGGGGCCCAGTCCTGGCCAAGGGCAGAAGGGATTCCACGGCAGGACTCTTTTAACCCACTCAGGAATTTCCAGTAAAGATAAAAACAGTATGGGAGAGCTGTTCTGGTTCAAGAAACTGGTAGTTGGAAACTGGCAGGTAATGTGCAAGGGGACGCCTCATAAGCACCTAGAAATTGTGTTGAGACGTGACAGGTTAAAAGAGACAAGACCAGATTTCTCTTGCTGAAGGGAAGTGGAACTGCAAATGCGGTGCTGGAAACAACTGGAAACGACAGTAAACTCTGCCACAAGCTGCTGAAATGTGAGTTCCTCTCAGTCTAGTAAGAGCGTATTTCTAGCTTAATTTTGCCAGGCTTTGCTGGTGTCTACTGTTGTAAAACCGTAACGCACCTGGACAAGTAATGTGCTGTCTGTGGCTTTCCTGTTTCCATCTCACTTCTGAGAAGCAGCCCAGCAGCCGTTTCAGCAATGAGTGACAGCAGTGGTCACCTTGTTAAGCCCTTTCCCAGACCTTGGCCGGCTGCAGAACCACTCATCCTTCCACTGTGTGTTTTCAAGGGTGCTAATAAAATGCAGAACTGTGGGGCATTTTTCAGCCTTGCTGCAAAAATCCTACCACGCTCCTTGGCCCAGGCTGCCTCTCACCCAGAGGGGCAGCTGGGCAGACACTCTCTCACGAGACAACTTGCAATGCCAGTTGCAATGCGGACTGCAGTGCTAACAGAGACTTCCCTCCTGTTGCATGTGGAGGGAACAAAGACTTCTGCTCACCTCAGGGTGGACAGAGAATGAGTCAAGGCAACTGCACAGCTCACTGCTCCTGCACCTCCCTGAGGACAAGCCAAGGCAAGGCTGGGACATGGGCCTGTGGGTAAGCCCAGCTCAGCAGGGCCCGTGGCCGGGCAGGGCCAAGCTGAAGGGAGATGGAGGCTGGCCCTGCTGTGACATTGCTGGGGCAGGGGCTGATGACCTCCAGGGTTGACATGAGTTCTGTGTCATGGATGGGTGGTTGAGCCCCCAAGTGTGGGCAGGGGCCGTGGGGCCTGGTGATGTCCTGGATCATCAGTAATGCCTTTTCACCTGGTACACTGCCCAGAAAAGACAGAAAGATGCTGTAAATGAAGTAAAACCATTACAGGAGATCACACACACAAAGCCCAGTAACTGAACTGGAATTAACTTGCTGGGTTATGGTTTTCAGACTCTGACACTCCTTATTTCCCATCAGTGACTGAGATACAGCCACCAGTCACATGAACAGGGTGTGTGAAATCTTTGCCTTTCAGAGGTTAAACACCAATTAGTTGTTATTGGGCTGCAGGGTGCAAAAACTTTGCTGTGGTATGGGAAGGTTACCCTTGCTGTTCTTTAACTTACAAAAGGAAAAGGGTCTAATTTGTGTTTGCAACATCCTCTGAGACACCCAGCTGAAAAGCCTTAACAGCGGTACATTATTCTTTTGACTTTTTTATCAATTCTCCTTTTTTCCCGCAGGTCTTCCCGGTTTCTCTCTGTATTCCATTCCTGAGGCAATTGTCCCTGGCATCTTTTAAGATCTTCCTTCACACGACCTCCAGTGAGAACTGGATTGAGCCCCCACACACCGACTTCAACAGGTTTTATTGCACCAGGGCCAACTACCAACCCAGCTTTGGGCTGTGCGTTTGCTGCTTTAGCCGCATAGCCTTCATGAGACAGGGCTTGCTCTGCTCAGCACAGTGATATGGCTGCTAGTCAGCCATCAAGGCCAGGATGTTGACGTGTTGGAGATATTTATTCATGCCTCTGTGACATCCCAAAGTTTACAGTGTTCCGTACATAATAACTGGATAACCAAAACAGCAGAGAAACCCTGCAGATGGGCACTTCCAAACTGTTGGCAAATAAAGACTTTGAGAATATTTGGAAGATAATGGGAATACACCAAGTTAACCACAGCCTTCTTCAGACACACAGCAGGCCCTCCTGTTAGTAGAAGTCTGTTGAAATCCATAGCAAAATTCTTGGTTTGTTTTGACAGATGTTAGAGAAGTATAATTACTCATATTACAATCAGTATTTATACTTTTTCCAACAGACCATTCACTGAAAGGGTGAGATCATGAATCAAGCTGTGAGAAGAGATGATTTTGTTGATTTGATCACAAAAAAAAAAAGAAAAAGAATATAGAAAGAAAAATATAATTCTTTTTCTCTCTCAAAATGGAAGATTAATTGGAAAAATGTTTATCTGCTTAATACTTTTAACGCTTTAGTTACATAAATACTTAGTAATGGAGAATTGAATTATTTGCTTTTGAATAATGCCACAATGAAATATTTGAACATTTAAAGCTTTTGTTCTGTTATTTCTCATTCAGCAGACATCTCACTCACTATCCATCTGAAAATGAATATTTCTATAAGTAAATATGCAGATGTGTTGCCTCATCCCAGATACAATGAATAAGGTAAGCATTACTTTCCCATCACACTAAGTAAAGTGAAGTCTGGTATAGATTGTATTATCTAAGAGGCAGTTTCCTACTAAAGATGAGTAAACATGTTATCTGTACAAAGGGGAATATTTTTAACTGTTCTCATAAAGCTGTATGGTGTTAGTAACTCTGTAAAGCTGGGAGATACTTTCTAAAGGCAGTGCACTAAAGCAGCAGCATCTAGTTCTAATGCACAGCACAGTAGCTATTAAAACTGTCTTTCCTTTCTCATGGATCTTCGTGAAAGGCAATTTTTTCTTTTATCCAGTCAATATATTTTTCAGTCAGTCTTGTATAAACTTCAGGTATGCCTCTTCTTCCACATCTTTTTCCAAAAGAAACAATCCCACTGTATTGACCAACACAGAATAACGGCCCACCTGAATCTCCCTAGAACAGAAAATAGGCAGAACTATCAATGTGTGTTCGTTGCTGTCCAGAGGAGCGTGCACTGCCACCTGCATGTTTGGAAATGTTGCGTCTATCCTGTTCCAGCCTATGAAATGGATCAGTTGGCTTACGTCACTTCACAGGAGTTGGGTGAGGTATAAGGAGAGGTTTCTCTTCAAGCCTGAGGAAGCCTTTGATGAAAATGCTGCAGACCAGCACAGTGCTACCATAATCCTATTTCTAAAGGTATTTTGTTATTGTTGGTATAAAGTGATTCTCACTTCTTTAGCAACTGGCCCTTCTGGACTCAAGCTAACTCAAGCTCAGAAGACATCATAAGCAAGATCCAAACAGCACTTTTGAGTGTCCAGTTAATTCTGTACTAGTCAGGTGTTGACATCTGGAAAGGATCAGATGATTCAAACGCTGAAAGTACTTCTTTGTTTCCAATAACTACAGGTGGTGCCTAAGAAGGGCACCTTAGCTAAAGAAATGTACTGCAACTTAACTGAGATAATCCCAGATCCAAATTCCCAGGCTCTAGATCTTGTTGTGTACATTGACCTAAACTGCTCAAAGTCTTAACATTTCTTTTTCACAGCAAAGAAGTCTCTTAAAAATGTGGTTAAAGTCACTGTGAATCTGATCACCGTTGGTAGGTGTCTAGCACTGCTTTGTTCCCAGTGAAAAGGGAACCATTATTAAAGGCACATCCCCTCCTCCTTGTAACCTTGCTTCTTACCTGGCAAGCATCGCCCTTCCCTGCAGCACACAACATGTTGCTGGTTATTCTTGTGTACTTTTCATATTGTCTCTCACAGCTTTTTATACTAACAATTTCAAGAGTTGCTTCCTGAAGATATTTTGATGGCTTTTTTTCAGATGTGAGTCCCCAGCCAGCCACCTGGCACTTTGTGCCAGGTTTGATATCTTCAAAAGACTCAGGCAGTGGCAAAAGTTGCACATATTTATTCAGCTTTGCAACACCATTTAGTTGGGGGGAAAAAAAAAAAGAAGAAAAAAAATGCTTTCACATGCAGAAAGGAAGGAAAGTACAATCTAGGTCTAATTGGCAACTAGTTTCATTTGATCAATACTTCTCTTATAAATCACTTTTCATTATTTAGGAACTGATCCGGAGCTTAACTGCCCCTTTGCGAATCCAAAAGAATTTATCTGGTGTCTGTATAGCAATTCCCTACCTATGGCAGCAGCAGTGAGTTCAAGCCCAGCCTCCCATAGATTGGAGTAGGAAATTAAAAACCTACACAGAAGGTAGGCTGTTGGATCTGTTCTATTCAGGAATCTAATTTGCCACTGAACTTCTGCACTGAAATCAGATTCTGGCTCTTGACTGGCACACAGACAAGTCTCAAAACACAGTGCTATGTACCCAGTAACAAAGGTGAAAGCAAAAGCTATAACTGATTAGACATGACAGCAGCAATGTAATTGTCGAAAAATAGGGTCTTGAACTCTTCAGACTGCCAAGTTTTTGCTCTGAGAGATTGAAAAGGGCTTAAAAGATCCAAACTGTCTGTGTTTCACTGGCCTTTACCTGATAGGTTCATCCTTCATCAGAGGCCAATTTAAGCCTGTAAATGAAAATATAGGAAAACACAAACACATACCCTCAGGTGCTCGGTAAGGTCTCACAGCTACTCAACAGATATTTTCTGGTTTACAGTGATCACAGTACCACTATTCATTTCACAGGTGGTTATATGTGTTGCTGAATGGTCATCAGTTAAACCATTCTGGCTTCGTACCCTCTAAAACTGGCACTCCAACAAATCACAAGTTTACAAAAAAAATCCTATGGTTTGTTATTGCCAGTGCTGGTGGGAATTCCCAAAGACAGAAGTCACTTAGTATTCCACTACAGCAGAACTGTAGAGATGGGAGATGATCCCCGGTGCTAACACTAACCCTGCTCCCATGACAAATTCAGACAAAGGATTTTGTGATATCCATGTCATTATGGAACACAGTTGTAACTTTCAGCTCTAGAAATACGACTTCCTACTGATCCATTTTGGTATTGTGTTCACAAAGAATGTGGTGCTCCTGATGAGTTGCCTGCGGCCAATTATTCAGTCAGTTATTTTCAATGCACATATTGATCTACCACATAAAACTATTCCTTCATTATCACAGGCACAACACCAAAGCATAGCCTGAATAAAGATCCATCCAAGTTTTCTTGGGCATCGTACTGAAGCCATGATGTTTCTAAAGGTATGGGCAAGATGATGTACAGATCTTACCTTTCTCAGGCACTTCAGATCAGCGCTGAAACCATGGGTACCAGGAAGGCAGTCCCCCAGAACCATTTGACCATCTACAGGATTCCTGTGTAGAGACTGCCTTCTCCCTAATCAAAACACCCCTGGCTGCCTTCACAACAACCTCAGTGCTGGATTAACAGAGTTCTCAGTGCAGGGACACATGAGGCAGAAGCAGGCTGAGCAGGAGCTGGTATTACAGCCTTGCCTCATTTTGGCATGCGGGATGATGTTGGTGGTGAGGACATCTTTCCAGGCTCCATTCTGCAGTGTCCTGAGCCTTCTTCACTCTGTGCTCCTAGAGCTGAATTCATCTATGATGTCCTGTATTATACATACTTCTACTTTATGTTGTTATGCCAAATAATTAACAGTAAGTTTTTATCCCCATTTTTGCTTAATCCAGCACAAGGTATCCCTTTGGGATATAGATGTGACCCACACACCACTGCATACATCACTTCAGCACTGCATCTGAAAAATTACTGATGTGGTTTGGATTTTTGGTGGGATCACTGCAGTGAGAGGGTTAAAGGGAGTTTTAGAGCACTGAACGGGCTTTAAATGTCATCCCTGCTCACAGTGCCAGTGATCCTGTAACATTATCTAGGTTAGCACAACCAAAAGCAGGGTGTTTTGTGATACTGTTAAGCTATCCAAACAATATACTCTTCGATATCAAAGAATAGCCTAAATGATCATCAGCAAAATTCCATTCATAATAAATAACAGTAATTAACACCATACCTTGAGGAGCATTATATCATTTTCCTTGGAAGACTTGTGAAACGGGATTAGGAAAGTAGTGCATAACCTTAAACATCTGCTGTTCTTTTTCAGCTATGGATGCTTGATGGGCTCCAAGAACAACTCTAACTTCTGATGAGTTTAATCTGCAATTTAAAGAAAGTACAAGGACAGAAGGTCACTACTGGAACTGAGCAACATCTCTCAAGACAATCAAAAGACATGTAACATAATACTCACAATTTCACATGATTAAAACATAGGGAAGGACACTGCTTACTTTAATGTTTTGACATGAGCTTGTATTTTCCTCCTCAAAGTAACATTTCTTTACTGTAAACCTAGTTTGGCAAAATAAAGGTGTGATAACTGACCTTCACGAATTCCAGAGTTTAGAATTAATTTCATTAAAAAGCCTGCTGTTTTTTAAAGAGAGTGCTGTGCACAAGGACTGCTGGTGCTGATGCCTTTCACTAATCTTCTAACAGTCTCCTTTGGATTTATGACCCAAGCCTGCAAAGTACTGAAACATGCCTGACTAATAGCATGTAGGTTGTCTTGCTGACATCAGAGGGACGTCAGTACACACATTAATAATCAATTACTCATTCTGAGCATTATGCATACAAGTAAGTGCTCTGCGAAAGTGGACATCTTTAATATTAATAACAGTTTTGTCCTTAACTTCACTAAATACAGGATTGAGCCCATTAAGGAAGAAGGATGGCAGTTGCCTAAGCTAAGACACCCCCATAGTGGTTATTAAAAAAGGAAACTGCCAAAACACAATTATATGTCAATAAACAGTGAGAGTTAAGCAACTCATAAATCTCCTTCTCCTTCAAGCTCTCTGAGTATCATCAGAACTGTATTTATACGAGTTTGCCTTTCTTCATTTTGCCCTGCTAAACTTCATGCAGCCCAGTAAGATGACATTGCCAGAAGACATATTGCTGGTTTCCTGTGCTGCTTCTTCAGAACACACAAGACAACTTATTCAAGTCAGAATGAAGACATGAAGACTTTATCAATTTTAAAAAACAAAAACAAAACAAAAAAACCAACCCACCAGCTATTTTCTTCATTGCAGCTGCATGCCTTACTGAACGATACAATTAATTTATTTGTATGTGAATGTTTGCTTGTGAAAATAGCTGCAAAGGCAGTGCTGGATATTTTTAGACAGTGATGGATATTTTTAGGCAGTGCCTAAAAAAATTCTTTTTATCTACAAAGCACACTTACACAAGTGTGAATGATATAAGACTCACAAAACTCCATCCCTGGTGCTCTTTCAGGTATCATGTCCAACAGAGATGCAACTCCTAGACTAGCAGAAAGCTCAGGCAATCAGCACTGTGCATACAGAGAAATCTAGGGGACTGGAAAGGGAGTGGGGAGAACCAAAACCAAACAAACCCACTGAAAACACAAACAAACCCAGTGCTGCCTCACCCAGGTCTCTGACAGGTTGTTTTCAGGCCGCACAAAGCTGATGTCCTGGATTCCTGCTATTTTGTCCAAGACCAAAATTATTTCAGAGGTGATTATGAGACAATATGCATTAGTTAGGAAGGCTTGCGTGCACAGCAGTTGCACCTGCTAAGAACAGTCTAGACATAACGTAGGGGTGGAGGGTTTTGCACAGGCATCATCATACAGCTCAGGAGAAGGAGAACAGACAGCTGTCGTTTCAGTTTGCCCTAGTGACAAAGTCAGCCCAAACGATGTGCATGTTAGACAATCAAACCAGTGACCAGAGCTGTCCTCTCCACAGGACCAGAGACAACCAGTGCCTTTCCACTGAATGGCTCCCAAATCTGAATGTTTATAACCATAAATAACTGGATATCTCTAACCCGTTGATTGAAGAGTGAGAAACTCCTCCTGCCATTAAAAAATCCCTTGAATCCAAAGAGGAAGGCTTGGATTTTGTTTTGTAAATGTCCAAAATATCACATGCTAGGCATGAATATTTCTACCTTTACAAAAAACACAACTAAACCTGATTCAGCTAGACAAGTGTGGAAGCCAAATTCAGTTAGACAGAAGGAGCTCTGTCCGCTCTTTCAGGCTAACTGCTAAAAGAAGGCTGGCCGACCTGCCCACACTGTGTTTGAGGAGGTCAGGTCTGCAGGAGTTTATTGTGCTTGGTTTGCTTTTAGTTTCTCAAAATACAGGGAGGGGGAAAAAAAAACCCAACCCTAAAACATGATCTAATGAACATTTTAGCAAAAATAGGGCCTTTTACTTCCTAACATGAACAGTAGATGTCCTCCTTACCCTGAGCCAGTTGTTCAACAGCTGTGCCAGCCTTGGGGTATCCCACCTGAGGAAGGTGTGCTTATGCCCACATTTGACTTGTCAAAAGGGCAGGGCTCCTTGTCATAGTGATGACTGACATTCAGTTTTTGTGAGCCCAGGTCACTTAAAATGGGAGGAATAATGTTTCTATCTAATTCAGCTTCATCTCTTAGGGTGTTTTAAGGCTTAGTCCCAGGCATAAAGGTAGTATTTGTTTAAAGCACTTTGGAATATATCCCCTTCTCTAACACATTGCTGTCTCAGATGCATAGATAATGAATTGGGTCATGTATCAGTATAGTCTGTTTCCTGTAACACTGGCGAGATCTGACTAATGAAGACAATGGAGATCAGTAGTTTGCAAAACAAAACTGAATGACAAGTTCTTAGATCAGTTTAGTGAGAAAACTGCAGCTTTTAACAATTCTTAAGAAATCAATATCCATCCTCCTTCACTTACAGGCTTGCACGCCATGCCCCACCTCAATGATGAGTTAAAATTGCCCCAGTATAAGATACTTATTCACAATGTGCTGCTGTCAAAACCCATTCCTTTCCCACAAGAGCTCCTCCACACACAGTTGATCTCTGCATCTGGATAGAAGCCATAAAAGGCCAGGAATGAGGATGCACAATGCGTCCTCTGATGATGTCCATGCAGTCATCTGAAATGCAACAGAAGTGCAATTACATTACATGTTATCCAGAGGAAGTTGGAATTTGGATATTTTTATCTTTAGATGAATACTTACAACTCGGGGGTAGGGTAACAGCAATTAGAGAGAGCAGGAGAGGTAACAGGTGGCTTGTCATAGCTGCTGATATTTACTGACAGGAACATTGTAAATTACAGTACAGTCTTTTCTATTTAAATGTCCACTGGAGGAAATGGTAGTTGAAACGATTTATTAATAGCTCCATCTCTTGAAGTTTCCCTTTACATCATTAATATCACATTGTTTTAACTGTGTCTTGGTTTCTTCAGGTTCTTTCTTCAGGCTTTTTTAAAACCCACCTGTTTCTTCAATCCCCAACATGTCTCAATATTAATCTGGCCGAGTCTTACAGGAACTTCAGCAGCCCTTCACCATAGGTATTACATTAGAAAACAAGCACATAAGAAACTCTCTGAGCATTACATGGGATGAATGTACAATAAAACCTAAGTGTCTCAGAATTCAACACTCTTTTGACTTTAAAGGGAAAAAAAAAAAATGTGAGAAGAATGGAACTGTCCATTTTCAAGCAGGAAAGCAGATGGGAGAATGAATACAAGGGCTACTTGAAAAGAAGACCAGTGAGAGGGAAAACTCAGGGCATGTAGAGTACAAAAGTCACTCCCAAACTGTGGACCAAGATACATCTTGGTATAGTGGTGAGTATCCCCGCCTGTCATGCAGGATACCGGGGTCAGGCAACTGATGTCATCTACC